ACTCTGCTCTTACTACTGTATACTGGCAGTTCGATCTTATCGGAAATATATACATTCGTACATAGGAGGTGAGGTGGGGGGGTGGTGGTCGGGGGGGGTATGGAAATGCTTTGTAATCAAAGAAGCATATCAAGTGGGGCCTGTGTCTGGGAGGCCTAAGTGTGGCTCATTAATATGAAAATACAAGCTTCTGGAAAAGTGCACATGTGTTTCACATTCATCGCCCCACACCACTCCCCCCACCCCCCACCCGCCTCAGAGTTTGCAGTGATAACAAGCTTTACCCCGAGGCTGGTGATAGGCCTGGTCTAGTCCTTTAGGAGTCATTCATTTACACAGGAAATGGCATCGACTCAATCGGATTGATTCATCTGAAAAAGTCAGGGAGGGGCTGGGCCGGGGGTTTTATCGGGCTGATGATGTCATTAGCATAGGTAATACAGTCAGAGTAGGACAGTCCTGGTCCACGGAGCAGAAACACCATCATTCGCGTCAGTGACTGAACGCATAGTGGAAACAGTAAGAAAACTGAAAATTAAATCTGAGTGTTTCGGACTTTCTTGCTCAGAGACTGACCTGGGAACCCTATAAAATTCACAATTTAGAATTAGAAAAAAATGCTTCCAAACATTCATCTTCTACTGTTTTATCTGATAGAGCTACCATTCAGAAACCTGTGCTCATTTGAATTGAACCTTGAAAAGGAGATTTCAAACCTGTGGTCATTTGAATTGAACCTTGAAAAGGAGAGGAGGTTTGAGGAGAAGAGAGGAGAGAGGAGATGATGATTCTTTGAAGATTGGAGGGTAAGACGGTCAGTGCCTGAAGTGGCTCAAGATGAAGGAACCCCTGCTGTTCTCAATTACCCATCAGAGCCTGGAGCTAACGCAGCCTTTAGCCTGTTCACTGTGTCCACAAACACAAACATTCTCACACACACATACACATACTGACCCTATTAGTTATAAATATGAGGCACAAATTTGCCCTAGGGCTCCCACACACACACACACACATGCACAGCACACACTGACCCTATTAGTTATAAATACGAGGCACAAATTTGCCCTAGGGCTCCCACACACACACACACACATGCACATGCACACACACTAAGCTCCTGCTAACCCTGGTGTTCCATCTAGGGACAACATTAATAGCATGTACACTGACATAATATCAATAAGGCACTGATGCTGGTCATTACTGGTCATGTCAATCATAGGTAAGAGTCAGGTCACTTGTGTGTCGGAACACACACAGCCATATATCTGGAGCCGTCGACATGCAGCAGAGGTGTTTCTCTGGGTAATGTAATTACACTTCCAGCTCCAGCGCTCCGTCAGGTGGCACGCCATCTCTGGGCTCCACGTGTGAGCAGAAGGGTGTTGCCTCCTTGTTGGGAGCCACATATCTGAACACATCACATGGAATTGATGACTCGCAGATAAGCCGCTCCCTTCAATCCCTGCCAAAGAATGCATCAGGAAGTGGGGCGTACGCTGAAACTACTTTAAATGTAAATCTGCCTCAGGATTGAGATTCATCGTATGCTCCGCTCTGAACCTCTCCAACTCCCTCGCTAATGTTTGTATGTTGGGATGCCGCCGGTCGCGCTGGTCTTTGGACTGTCAATGAGTGGCCAGAGCATTCGACCAGGAGCGGGTAGTTGTATATGAAACA